TTATAATTGAGTTAAAGTTGATAATCAAGTTGTAAGTTTCACACGTGTGAGAAGCTTGGTTGGATGGGAAGGTTGCGTATATTCAACAGATCGACAATTCAACCGATCTCTCTCAAATTTAATTAAAGAAAAAGAAAAATGAGATTTAATCTCTCTCCAAAATCACCGCTCCTCACACTCTCTTCTTCCTCTCTCGCTTCTCTTTGCCTCCGCCCTTTCCTTCCCTCTTCCCCCAGATTCCCTTTTTACCCTCCCCTTGCACGCCACTTGCCCACCGGCCGCAGCCTTCGCATGGACTCGTCTTCACCGGTTCCCCCCTCCGCCCTCTCGGTCGACTTCGTCGCCGACGGTTTGAAAAAACAAAGCTTAAGTGAACACGATAATAATAACAAGAAGAAAAGTGTTAAATTGAGCCTCGAAGATCTTAATTGGGACCATTCATTCGTTAGAGAGCTCCCAGGTGACCCTAGAAGCGATTCAATTCCACGTCAGGTTTAATTTATACCTTTATGCTTTTTTTCTTTTGGTTGAATTGAAATACATGGAAATCATGTATATATATATATATATATATATATATATATTATTTGTTTTGCTATTATAATTTCAAAATGCTGGCAAGGACTAGAAATGTTTTATATTTCATTCTTGTTTGTAGGTTTTCCACTCATGTTATACGAAAATCTTACCATCAGCTGAAGTAGAGAATCCGAAGCTTGTTGCCTGGTCAGATTCAGCGGCTGAGTTGCTTGATTTGGACCCTAAAGAGTAAGTCTTGCCTTTTGATCTCGAAACATATTGGTGAATGAATAATGGTGAGCCATCTAGGTTGTCCGTATTCTGAATTTAGACGCTAGCGGTAATTTAAAAAAAAAAAACCTGAGAGGCGTTTAATTAGGGCATGCCTCTTCCATCTCTTAAAAGCCATTGTCTGGCACCGCCTCTTCATCTTGGTGTAGACCATAATTACACTGATTCTGCATATGGGAACTTGGATTGTATTTCATGGAATGTTTAACTTTCAACATCTGTGTGAGAAAATTGAACAAGGGGAAGTGTGGGGAAATCCTGGGGATAAATTTGTGAAGATATCAGTGAGATCTTATGCCAGTGACTTCTTATTCCTTTCTATATTTTACATCATCTCTATTTTTCTAATTAAAGCATTTGAAAGTGAGTTGGATTAATTGTCATATATAGGATACTTGATCCTATGGAGAGAGATCGGAGTCGAAACTCCTTATGGATAAGATTATTTTGAATAAGTTGAAGGTATATTGTCATGTATGCACCGGAATAAGATAAAACTATGATCATTGACTCATCAACCTTTTGTTGTAATACCTAATATATTATCCTATTAAGAAAAAGCCTTTGTAAGATTAATTCATTGCACATAATCTTGAGAAACATATATTTTGTCCAAGGGATTAACTATATAGGTCTTTCTTCGAGTTGCAGATTTGAAAGACCAGATTTCCCCCTTAAATTTTCAGGGGCTTCTCCTTTGGCAGGAGCGTAAGTATTTTTTGAGTTTTTTTTTTTTTTGAATTACTACCAGCTTCTTTCTTAATCATGCTCCATTTGGTCCTCATTGGTATTCCCTATGACAGGGTGTCATATGCTCAGTGCTATGGAGGACATCAGTTTGGCACATGGGCTGGTCAACTGGGTGACGGCCGTGCTATTACTCTTGGGGAGATTCTGAATTCAAAATTAGAAAGGTGGGAACTGCAGCTTAAAGGAGCAGGGAAGACACCTTATAGTCGATTTGCAGATGGGCTTGCAGTTTTACGGAGTAGTATCCGTGAATTTCTTTGCAGTGAAGCAATTCATTGTTCATTGATTTTTTATTATTAAGATAACCACAGGCTAACAGGAAAATTGTATAACTCTTTACATCTTTTACTGCAGTGGCAATCCAAAGGATGAGCCTGGTTCAGTTGTTTGCAGAGTTTCCCAGTCCTTTCTGCGGTTTGGTTCATACCAAATACACGGTTCCAGAGGAGGAGAGGACCTTGGTATTGTACGTTCTTTGGCAGACTATGCCATTAGACATCACTTCCCTCATATCGAGAACATGAGCAAAAGTGAGAGCTTGTCTTTGAGCCCTGGTGACAATGATCAATCAGTTGTGGATTTGACTTCAAACAAGTATGCAGGTAAACACATGGATTCACTTTGGTTGCGAAATGGCAGGGAGTTGGCTTTACTCATGGTGTGCTGAACACAGACAACATGAGCATTTTAGGTCTCACCATTGATTATGGTCCTTTTGGATTTTTGGATTCTTTTGATCCGAGTTACACTCCAAATACTACCGATCTTCCTGGGAGAAGATACTGTTTTGCAAATCAGCCTGATATTGGTTTATGGAATATTGCACGATTTGCCTCGACTTTGATGGCTGCAGACTTGATAAGTGATAAAGAAGCTAACTATGCCATGGAAAAGTATGTCAGTCTGATTTGTGTTCTCTTTTATTTGTAATAATACTAAAATATTCCGTGGTAGACTGTTAATGCATTGTCCTGACACAGGTATGGGACAAAATTTATGGATGAGTATCAAGCAATACTGAGCCAAAAACTTGGCCTCCAAAAATATAATAAACAGCTTGTTAATAAACTTCTTGGTAATTTGGCCGTTGATAAAGTGGACTACACAAACTTCTTTCGGGCACTTTCCAATATCAAAGCAGATCCCGGCATTCCCGTGGATGAGTTGCTGGTGCCACTGAAGTCTGTTCTGCTAGACATTGGCAAGGAACGCAAGGAGGCGTGGACCGATTGGGTACAATCCTACATTCAAGAGGTATACTTGGTTTTTGGTCATACGAATATGCCCTTATTCAAGTGATAACCTTGATTATAGCTGAAATCTCACAAGATCTCTTTTCCCTTCAGCTTGTTCCCAGTGGCATCTCGGATGAGGAGAGGAAAGCTTCCATGGACTCGGTGAACCCTAAATATGTTCTCAGGAACTACCTATGCCAGAGTGCTATTGATGCAGCTGAAATGGGTGATTTCGAAGAAGTCCGGAGGCTGCTTAAAGTAATGGAGAGGCCATATGACGAGCAACCGGGAATGGAAAAATACGCACGTTTGCCTCCGGCATGGGCTTATCGGCCAGGTGTGTGCATGCTATCTTGTTCCTCGTGAGTTTATCACTCAAAGTTATGCTATACAAAAATCACTATACCAACAAAATATAAAAAAATTGAAGATTGCACTTCTGTATATATAATAGTGGAAAAGACTATTTTGATTTCCCTTTTCCTCGTAATAAAGTGTTGTAGTGCTTGTAGACCCTTGTTGACTTTTATGTTGTATGCATATATTTATGCTTTGACTATGCCATTAAATTCTGATATTTATAGCCCATTTGTTGTAATAACATACTTGAGAAATAAAAAAAAAATTATTAGCAAGCATTGATTTGTTTTGTGTAATGTAGGGTATTGTTTGGACTTGAGTCTTTGTAGGTTTTATTTGGGTTGCATTTGATTCTAACTTGTTTTTCATTCATAACGTTATAAGTATTTAAACTAATAAAAAATCTAAATTATTATTAAATAAAATATTGGGAGAATTTAAGTTCACCTTTTCGATCGATCATCCATATTTATAGGATTTTTTTAATTCTTTAAATTGAATAGTCTAACTCGTGTGAACTTCTTTTCCTTGGTGTTCCAACGTGGAAGATTATGTTTATAGTTTTCGCGTTGCATTTATTCAAAATAAAGAAATATCTTAAATTCTTATAAACAATTACAATTATAATTGCAAATTAAGCACATAATTAGAACAATTACTTATAATCATTGAAACAAAACTAACAACTTAAATCACATATAAGGAAAGATTAAATTCTAATAAAAAAATTCAAATAATGATAGATACAAACAAATCTGATTGCATTAGCAAAGAATCTCAAAAGGGATCATATTATTAAAAGATCACCAACAAATTGTATATTAGACTCGAGCGACGTAAAAAACTATCAACGAACGCATAATAAGTATCTAAATCTAATTTAAGGGTCAAAAAACAGGGAAGATCAACAATATAACAGATAAACGTCATTTTGATCAGTCGTGGCGATGTATAATCAACTCTTAGAAAATGATAAACGAAAAACAATGGTCAAATGTTCGAAAAATGTGTCAAAAGACAGAAGAAAATGTGTCATAAAGACAGAGAAAATTTTGTCATACAAACAAATTTATTGAAAAAAATAAAAGGATAATAAATAATATCGATGGTCGGCAACTAACATTAGAATTAGTGTCGTCGTTGATTGACAAAGAGAAATAAAAATAGATAAACAATTTATTAATGAGAGAAAACTAGAAGAGACAATTATTATCTTTTGCATTTAATTTTTTATACTTGTCAATTTTTATAATTGAATAATATATGTCGATTATAATGTCAATTTTTATATATATATCTCGGTCGATCATTCCCTTTGTTTTTTTGTGTTGATCCATCGACGACGAGGACCTCAAAAAATTAAATTAAGCGAGTGCTCTCAGTATGCACCACTTCATTGGAATGTAAACAAGTAAATAAATTGAAAATATTGGGTTTCTCTTCCACAAGTCAATGACAAAAAAAAGAAAGACATTTCACTTTGACTTTAAGCATAAGCTAAATTTACAATGTTTATCTCCAAATTTTAGGGACTATTTGTTTGACTTTGAATGAAATTTTTTAGCGTTGAATACTGAATTGTTTAACATTTAGTGTATTTATTTCTCATTTTTAAATAATTCAGTATTGATTGATTCAGTAAAACAATATTAAATGATTCAGTATCAAAGTACATTCTAATTGATTCAGAGTCATTATCAAATAGCATGTCATATTCAGAACTAATTCATACAGAGTCTCTAAATTATTCTACGTTTAATCATTTTGAAGTAAACAAATAGTCATTTCAATGGACACCCATCGAACTCCAGCAATGTCTTTCCCTCTCTTTCCTCTCGTTTCTTCTCTAATTTTGCTACTCTTCTTTAGCGACGCCCAAACCATCGTCGGAAATATAACAACTGGCGCTTCTCTTACTGCCACCGAGAACAACAACTCTTCAGGTGATTTTGTCACACCCCAATATGGGATTAGATTTCTTTCAATTTAAATATGTGAAATAATATGAAGTTGGTTTTCAATTAATTATTTTATCATATCATTATATTATTAAACAAATTGAGAATGATATAGTAGGTAGAAGTGGACAAATTGTTGGGTTGGCATTCCATGATTGAAAAAAAAATATTATACAAAATCAAACATGAAGACAAAAGTATGTGGAGTCTGACAAAGAAAGCAACCAAATGAAGTGAAGACTTTGTATCATATACGTGTAGCTTGTTGTGTTAATAATCTAAGGGTAAAAAGGGGCACGTAGAAGAGGAAAAATGATAAAGAAACCAAACCAATAATAATGGAACAGATAAATCCAAGCAGAGCTATGAGTGATGTGAATTTGTTTATTATTATTATTTTTATAATATGGAAAAATGGAGACCACAAGTGAGGGAAATCAATCAACCACTCCTTACCTATTCGATATCTTCTTTCTGTACAAATAAAAAAATGGCTTCAACCGAGAACGTTAGTTGCAGGCAATCAAATACCTCTCGGCTACAAGATTTGATGCCAAGTTCTTGGTGTATTTGGAAATGGGATGGTACAATCTTTTATACATGCACGTGTATTAACTCCATCAAAACATGAGAAAGCTAAAGTTGGCTTCTTAAATCGTTAAGCAACTTCGAAGGTTTCATCGAGTGGAAATTCCAGGTTCTAAAGAATCTCAACTATGAGTTGACCTCTTCAAATTCTTTGAGAAAGGAATATAGGTTCTTGGATGGGACGAGCAACATGCACGTTTAATTTTGATGGAGAAGATGATGAATTTTTGCAGAACATGAGTTCTCCGAGACTAAGCAATTCATTTGAAAAGAAAGCCGATGCCAACTGGGAAAGAAGAAATATGTTAATCCTATATCATGAAACATGCATCAGAAAAGGAAGCTATGGAGGGTTTCTAGCCAACGTCAATCTGTCGTAGCTAAGTCTGCCGCCCTTGGAGCTTCCTTAATTCAGAATCGGTCAAAGGGTCCAAACGATGCATCAATCACCAGAAGAATAAAAGAAAAAAATAGAAATTGTGAAGGTTGTGTGAAATGGAGAAGTGGTTTCATAATTACATTTGAAAATCACGTGTGTGTGGGGTGTTGAGATAGTAAGATGGACAAATCATAGTTTCAACCCTCTATGTTTGGTAAGGTTCTAACTTGTCCATCAGTTTTAATAAAATTTCAACCAAGTTATGATAGTTTAAATTAATTCAATCTAGTACATGATTTTAGTTTCTATATATTTTAACGACTATGAAAGTTTTAGTTTTATCATTTGGTTCCCGAACTATTAAATTAGTTTCTATTAATCATTTTTTATTATGAGGGGAATTATATTGGATTCAAGTTCGCGTATTTGATGGTCCGGGTTCGTGAGAGAAAAATTGGAATCTCGACCTTGTACCTCCCGATCCATCCGTATGCTTTGCTATGTATTCGAGACATTATGGACCGTGGAATTAAAGTTCGAGAACAAGCGAATGGAGTTTAAATGGTCGATCAGAATGACACGGAAATTGAGGTAATACTTTACTACCTCTTTATGCTTTATGGAACATGTTGATATTGGTAAATGCATGAATAAGATAACGTTGGTCACTTTTGTGGAGTTGAATAATTTATTCACTCGATATGAATGTAGTAGAAATTCCGTAACTGAATACGGATCGAATGACTAATATAAGAGATTGAGGAATTGTTAGAATTAAATTACAAGTTTGTGATAAGTGATAAAGAAATCAGCCCTGGATTTGTAACTTATATTTTATATCATCAAAGGTTAAATGTTAAAGGTACTTATATGAGAAATTATGAGAATATTTCGATTAGGTAAAATTACGAAATTACCCTTATGTTGGAAAATGACAAGAATTGTCCCTGGAAGTGGATTAGTAAATCTGAAAAGACATATTGATCTGATAAATTTATTGATGTGCATAAGAAATGTTAGTTTTACTTGGAAATTATGGATAACCGATTTTTAACCTCAATAGGGATTTTGCAAGATACTAGAAGTTTGTTAAGGAATCATTTCAAGATCAGAGAATGTTCGAGGAAACAACTAACCATAGGATCTTTAAATTATAAGTATGCTCGTTAAGAGTTAATACCGAAATCATCTGGTTAAGAAATTACGAAAATGCCCTTGAAAGGTAAAAATAGCTCGAGTTGACCCTGATGAGAAAGCTCTTAGAGGATTTGTACTTAACTCAATGAATTACGTATTTAATTGTTAAGATCCTGTCTTTGTACATAAAATTTCTGATAACCTATTGGTAACATCTGAGAAGACAATCGATCTGAAAATCTTCGAGTTAAGAATAAATTATCGAGGGTGCTCTTTTGTAAGAATTATTTGAAAGGTCTGGAATAAATGATAAGTTGGAATTAAATAATAAGACAGAATTGAAGGAAATAATTGAAATACACCGGATCTGTAAAATGACCAGAATACCCCTGTAATGAAAAAGACTCTAGAATATTACCAAACTCAGGAATGATTGGATATCCTCGAGCTCTGAAAAGAATGGAATAAAACTGGGCACCAGAATGACCAAAATACCCTTATGACCTAAAATTAGTAGAAGTGTTGGATTAATTAAGGAATCCAAATAAACATGGATATGGTACTGCTCTTAAAAGTTATGGATCACATATTAAGCCGAGCAATCAATGCTAGTGTATGTCAGTACCTGAATGTATAGATGTTACTTGAATGCGTGTTCGTCTTCTCAAGTGTGGTTCAATGATAATTTTAAAAGTACTCAACTCAACTCTAGGTCGCATTCGATAATAAGAAATGAATATTTGTTAGACAAATCAACCACGAAGACCAAATTAAATTAAACAGAAGTACAATATATATATGAAATTCAGAAACGTCTGGATTATCTGGAAAGCTCTGAAGTAATCGGGATAGACTTGACTGATAAACGAACTGAGTAACCTCAATGACTGAGGATTAAATAGGTGATTTGATGAGTTTGGGAACACTGTTGAACTTACATGATGAATTATCCTTATGGGTCATAAAACATGAATCAAGTACGTATGTATTTCCTGATATCGTTGAAATATAGAAATGAAATAAAGACTATTGAAAGATCTATTCAGCGATGATTACGAAGATGATTTATGGACAAGAATTTTGGTATTAAAGAGTAAATATTCTGAAAAGGCAGTAAATTGACGGGTCAACATGCATTAGTTCAGAGAGCTTGTTCAGTTCGAATTGTTCGATAAACCGATCGATTAACATGGATTGTAAATGTCTTGAAGCTTCGTTTCTCTTTTATTAGCTCAAATCACTCTGGGCATTCTGGAACTCTTTCCTGATGCACATGAATCATAGTGGAATTCTAAAGTATCAACTTTAAATGTCTGATTAGATCGGTTAATAATCGATTCTCTCCAAATAGGACCTTGTTCTTAGAATCCGATCAAAATTGCGAGCTTCATGTTATCCTTACCGATAATTACAAAATGCCTCTGAAAAATACTTGGATCCTAGTGTTCTCTAATTATTATTGAACTGTTTTATTGGTTTTAATATGAGGTACACTGAGTTCTTTGGTTACTGTTTTATTGATGCACCAATTTAATGTGATGATTTATGGAATTTGTGTCAGGGTGCAATTGAACTTTTGGATTGAATTACAATAGTATAGCTATGATCAAGCTAATAAACAGAATGAGCCTAATGTGACTCTTGGGGCCCCAAGATACATTAGGTTGGCTTCCCTTGCTGCGTGCTTAGGGTAAGCTATATGGACTTGGACTTACGGGCTTAAGGATACAAGCTATAAAGCTTATCATTAGGCTGGGTTTCTTTTTGTTGTGTGCTTAGAGTAAGCTATATGGAAAATAGTTTTGGAAATTATTACTGATGGTGTATAAGAAAAGAGTTTAAACTATGATTTTCAAAAGTTAAACTCTTTTATGAATTTATGAGATTTACTGGACTATGATTTTGTTTATTGTACCTATTATGATTTTATTGTATTGTTTGAACACATTAGACATCCTATTCGATATCCTAAAAACGTGATACTATGAATGCTTCCTATGAACTGAGATATTCATGGATTCTATTCGATGAACTACCAGTGGAACCTCAGATTATTCTGAAAATTTGTATATGTCTGATTCAATAAGAAAATTATGACTTTCCATTTATCTGCATGTCCTTTAGCATCATCAGGTAGTTCTGTATTACTGAGTTTTCCGAAGCTCACTCTATTACTCATCATTGCAAGTTAAAAGAATTGTATCAGTGCAGTTATCGATATCAATAAGGGAGTTCTTCCGGCGTTGCTTACAGAGTATGGTACATGTGATTAGGGGGCATGTAATTGTATTTTGTTTTATAAACTAGTATGAAAACATGTTTTATTTCCGAACAATGATAAATCAATTTGTTAGTTACATGTTTTAATAAAAGTTTTAAATTTTCTAAGATTTTTACAGTGGTTCACTCCGGTGGCCCTAATGTGACACTCCAGATCGGATCGGGTTATTCGCATCGGTTTGAGGGGGTTACATTTAGTGGTATCAGAGCTATGGTTTTAGTCAAAATTTTCATGATAGATCGGTCGGTCGAATGTTAAAATATGTCTAATCAGTACATGCCCCTAGACTACAATCGTACTTCTCTGAGCCGGAACTCCAAGGTTGAGTCTCTATCTGTAATGAACAAACTAAGTTTTCATCCATTAGGACTCTATCGTTTTATAAAGGAATACCAGTAACATCTGTCTAAACGCTGTAAAGTACCTCATGAGCCATGTGAGAGTTACTCATCTGAGAAATTTTGACCCGACTCCAGAAATTAAATTGGGATATGCTGCTGCACTATGAGCCTATTCTCATGACCAAGACTGAATTGATTACTCAAGGTCATTTTCATTCGGATTCTTTTATTGAAAAAAAAGAAGAAATGTTCTGATAAG